GCCACTGCCGCTTCAACCTTCAAGGAGGATTGTAGGGATGAGTGGAACTAGATAGGGATTGTGCAAGGGGATTTGAATGATTTGTAAAGTTCTGATGGAATTTGGAAAAAAATTCTGGGATAATGTCTAGGAAAAATGGGGTATTAAGGTCACGATGTAGGATTTTGTTGGTTACATAGAACGGAGCATCGAATACTCTTCGGAGGACTTTAGACTGAAAGGATTGGAGGCGTTTGATGTTAGAAAATTTTGCCATCCACCAAAGTTCAAGTCCGTAGGTCCAAATAGGTTTCAGGATTGTCTTGTAGATCAGTAATTTGTTGTCAAATGAAAGTTGAGATTTTCTAGTCAGTAGTCTGTATAATTGGCGGCATTGTCTGTTAAGTTCCTGTCTTTAAATTCTAGTATGTGGGTTTCACATTATTATTCGGTCTAAGAGAAAGCCAAGATATCGAACTGTGTTTGAAAAAGAAAGCTGGGTGGAATTAAAGTGGGATTGAAGTGGTGGGCCGGATTTGGGCCGGAGCATGAAGGTAATGTGTTTGCATTTGGATTCGTTTACTTTTATGCTCCATTAATTACACATTTATAAAAGTAAAATATTTTAATCATGTTGGGCGCCATTTTATCGATTATTCCTCTTCTAAAGATAATAAACATAACATAATGTAAAAAGCTAAGTAAAATAGGACACGAAGACTCCACAAACCCGGTACCCGTTAATAATAAAAATAAATACATTTTTTTCGGAAATAATTTTGAAATGATGGTAAGTTATATATCCATTTTTATAGCAACAAAACCACCTGAATAGTTACAATGCATTACAAGGATGATTTTTGTTTAAAAATGATAAAAATTAAGAAAAGATGCCTGAGGGATGAAAAAAATTAAAATAATTCATTTTAATTATATTGTATACTGAATTAAATTATATAATATTTATATCAATTTATATACATAAAAGTAACAATTGACGTTCATAAGGGAGTGGAGTAGCTCAGTGGTAGGGTACTGAGCTTCCAATGCTAAAGGTCCCAGGTTCGAAACCCGACTTATGGCAGAAAATTTATATATCTGTTTCATTGGCCATGGGGCGACCCTGGGTCGGGAGACCCTCCTGGGGCACACCCAGCCTCTATAAAGTGGGTACCCCTAATTAAATAATTGACTAAGGGGGAAAACTTGGCGGTTGAACGTGATCTCGGTCAAATCACCTCCTTGCACAGCCATTGACCTAAAAACAGTGCTTTCTCTAAATAGCACTGAACCCAAGACCCTTCATGGGTTGTATTAGAACAGGTTTTTACAGTTCATACTTGAGAATGGCTCTTGAAGCCAAAACGTCGGTCATAATAAAAGGATAGTAAAATATACAAATTTGTTGGTGACTATTTGCCAAAAATCAAATAATTAAAAACAAATTGTTTTAAAATTAGGGTTTTCAAAAATATATCTAACCCGCATTCAAATAACTTAGGTGGCGTTAAAACAGTTTTTTTTTTTTTTTTAGTGCGTTCTTTAATTGATTGCTAACTTTATTGCAAATAAATAACAGGGTTTGTTTAATCAGACGAAAACGTTAGAAATAAAAGAAATATATTGTCCGTTTTTATTAGTCTTTTTCCACTTTGTTAATGGGGGGGCTAAGGTTTGTTTATTTTATTTTTATTTTTTTCTCCTTGTAAATAGTGTAAAGAACAGAATGGCACGTGAAGACGTGAACATCCCGTTACAATTTTAAAAGAAATAAACTATTTAACTCATGGTTGGGTGGCACGCAACAATTATCCGTACCATGTAATAATTTAATTCATATATGATCCTTGGTCATGAAGAAAAAATTTTCTCGCTTTGTAATGTTTCGCATGTAAATGGGGCAGTGGAGCGCGAGATCAATATTGCTCCTGGAAAAATAGAACTGAAATCAAATGGACTGATGTACATCCTCAATCCGGAAAACATCTTTATGCTATCCTTATTATCCAATCAAGATTAATTAAACAGTTTCTAAAAATCTTCATATAATGGACATTTTTTTTTAATCCATAAATAGCGATGGGATGGCGTGTGCCTGACTGCGCTTTGTACCAATTTTTTATTGACTTTACTCCGAGGAATCGATGAAACCAAGATGGAACGATAAGTCTTTGAGGATGGGCATTCTTGGGGCAGTATTAGCCAAAAATTTCATTAAAAAATAAAATAATTTGTCAATTAATTTAAACGTTACAAGTGCAAATAATAACTTTTTTTTAAATTTATTTAATTAAATTTACAACTGTATAAACAATACAACTAGTAAAAATGCACACATTAGAAATAATTACATGAACAGACTTGAAGAGATACTGCCCAGTGAGATACTCCCTATTTAATTCTAGGTGAGAAGATCACAAGGCCATCTTCTTTTCAGATTCCTGGGGGATTATCAGGAATCGAGGAAGAAGCAAGGCTGGAAATAAGTGGATTTGGATGAAACTGGAGTTTATCATGAAAGGATAGGTATCTGGCACGGCTAAATCAGTGGCATATGTAACATTAAGGTCTTTGTGAATGGTTTTATTTGTGACAAAATATGGGCCATTAAGGATTTTACGAAGGATTTTGGATTGAAAGGATTGGATACGATAGGAATTCGATGGTTTAGTAGAATCCCAAAGCTCAACTCCGTATGCCCATAGATTTTCTTTCCAAAATCGCTATAATTGATTTTTTTTTTTTCAGCTTTGTACAGTTGTTGTATTCCGATATTTAGAATTTGTCCTCACCATTCTCTCCAGCCTCCTCCCGCAATCATCTTGTAGCCATTCCCCATTTTATATTTTTCAACCAAATGGCTTTTCCCTCTTCTTTCCATACTCTGGCTAGTATTAGAAAACTCTTTTGGGACATTATTTATTGACGAAGGTTTGATTATAAATTACGAAAGTGTATGTTCTTCCCCCCCTGAACCCTGTCTGTCGTTCAAGAGCCGCTTCTTTCAAAAATGGCGGCTGATTAAAGAATATTAGGCCAGTAATTTGAGAATCGAAACGGGAAATCCATTGCGAAAAATATGAGAAAAGTTTTTATTTGTTTAACTTGTATATATTAGTTTAAACATGTAAACAACAAAATCGTTAACGCGGGCTACCAAGGGAAAACTTTTAAAATCCAAAAAAGTAAGATTTTTTCGATATTTTTTTGTTTTTTCACCTATAACTCCTAAACGATGGAACAAAGCGAAAAATGTATACTTTAATAAATTAAAGAACGTTACATTGTGCGTCGAACGGGTAGTAAACTTTATAATTTGATTACGTGGTAAGGTATAACCACGGTCAACCAACGCTGAGTTTTATCAAAAACTGATACAAATCACTATAAATGCCACTGTAACTTGGAAATGAATTCCTTTAGAGTCAAAGTCATAAACCATCGAACTTTGCATCCACTCAGTACTGACATTTTTATTTAGGCCAATTATATATCACGAATCGGGATTCGTTATTTCTGTATGAAATTCGGTATCTTTCGACACATCGTTTATTAAAATCCTTCGCTGCTGAGAAGTGGAAAAGAGACTTATACTGCCTGTAACATACTCTAAACAAAAATAACTCAGTATAATAGACATTAATACTGTTGAAATATTGAAAATCACGTTTAACTTCATTAGCAATGTCTAACCATCGAGAGATTACCGATTTTGTTCGGAGTAAGTGATCTACATTAATTTAGTTGGTACTCACTGGACTCAAAATTTAATGCTCTAAAGCTTTAATATTATGAGTTTTTCTTCTTAAGGAACTTATTTCCCAACAAAATTACAAAGTTTATGTACTCGTTCGACGCACAATTCAACTTTCTTTAATTTACTAACGATGCATTTTTCGCTTTGATGCATCGTTTATCAGTTACAGATGAAAAAACAAAAAATATCGGACTTTTTTGGCTGTAAAACGTTTTCCCTCGGTGGCCCGCGTTAGCAATTTTGTTTTGACATGTCTAAGCCCATATATACAAGTTAAAAAAATAAAAACTTTCTCACAATTTTCGCAATGGATTTCCCGTTTCGATACTTAAATTATTTGTCTAGTATTCTCTAAATCAGACGCCACTTTTCAAAGCAGCAACTGTAGAGCGGCAAAGTTCTTTTTACTCAGAATACCATTCACTATCGTAATGTACAATCAAACCTTCGCCTAAGATGAGGTCGATTTTTAGGGCCTGGCTCCAGTGCTATGAGGTCAATCATACAGTTTTTTTCACATGTATGATAGAAAAAACTATATGTCGGCTTCACTATTGCTTACTCCACCACATCCGTGTGGTTCTAGCCTCTGAACAGTTAGTGTGAAGCAGTTATACAGCCTTAGTTTAATTAGTAAATTTAGTGTTTTAACGTGGAGATTTGTTGTATAAATTAACCAGACTCATTTATTAAATGTGCTGATTCCACGGGTGAGATTAAATATTTATTTCAACTGGAACTTGTGCCGAAAGGAGCGAGGAAAGTTAGCCAGGATTTTAGTCGGCTTACAGGTAGCTTGTTAACCATTTTAGTTGAGACGGGGAGCGGGGAGCGCATGCGTTAGATAAGGCCTAGTTCTAGTCTCTATAAGTCAGTAACCCCAGTGTTCAGGTTGAGGTTACGTCAATTTTTATCACAACAATCAACGTATTTTTTTTAAATATGTTTTTATACATTTTTCTATATTTTCCATTTTATTTTTGCCAGACAAGATGGTTTCATGCCCAATTTGTGGACAGACAGTTACCAGAGAAGACAAAAAACATTGGCATGCCCTATCACTACATGTCAAGCCATTTTTCATGGTAAATGCCTTAACCCGGACGGAGGTGAATTCGAAAAATTAAGGGCATCAAGGAAGAATTGGGCATGCCCGAATTGTGTAAAAGAATAAAAAATTACACAATTGAGAGAGAAGGGCTCTAGCCCTGCAAGATCAGCTTCTCAGCAACCAACTGCCTCCGACGCCGCGTCACAGCTGCTCATGACCGCCATCCGAGACCTAACGGCTGAGGTTAAGGGATTAAAATTCGCCCTCGATGCTAATGCCAGTGAGGTAAAGGAATTGAAAACAACTCTGAAGAAGCAGACTAATATAACCTTTGAAAACGCAGAAAAATTAAATGCAATAGAGACCCTTCTGGAGACCCAAAATTCGAGGTTGGAAGGAGTAATGATGGAAAATGCGACACTTAGGTCCCGGGTATCGGAGCTTGAAACCAGACTCAACAGGGCCGAGGAAATGCACCTTTCCAAGTCGGTTGAAATAAGGGGAGGTCCGGGGAGACGCCTATGGGCCTGGTGATGACCGTGGGGGCCGGCCTGGGCTTGAATTTAAAGCCGGAAGATGTCGACTGCGCGGAGCGGATGAGATCGATGCAGGATGATACACCCACTACTGGTGAGATTCGTCAGACAGACGCTCAGAGACGAGTTGGTCCAAAGGCGGAGGTTATACGGGACGTCTCAACTCGACACCTGACATAATGGCAGGAAAATGATGCTCACAAAGCATATCTAAGCGACGCGATGTCCGTAACCAATCGACATCTATATTGGTTAGCCCGACCGAAGAGATCTGCGGGGAAGATCAGATACGTCTGGTTCAACGCGGGCAAAGTGAAATGTCGACGTGATGACGGCCAGCAGTTGTCATGATCAACTCGCCAACGGACTTGGACATATTCGCATGACTTGCACTCATATGTTTAATTGCTCTGCTCACTTTATTTTTCATTTCTGTTTTTGCGCATTTCGATTTTTATTTTATTTTTTTTCAAGAATACAATTTAGTTGTTTTTGATCTAATTTATTTTGATAATTGTTTTATTTTCGTTTATAAGAAAAGTGTATGTTTCATACTTTTAGACATTTTAATATACTTAAATGCGTTTTATTCCGATGTAGAGGTACATCTTTCGTTTACTGAATTGTATATCTCCAACTTTTCAACATTAATAATACCTGGAAAATTACTATTCTTTATTTTCTTTTTTTGTTTAGCATAATTTATTATTACACTCATGATTCTTCGCAATAGAGGTGTCATCAACAATTATGTACTCTGGGCTCATACTAGCTCCAACCACTATAAAAATATTCCTACCTCTAGCACTTCCAGTCTGTTAACCAAGCCACCCCTCCTTCTCCCATGACTAATATCCTTTTAACCTGCCACGTCAACGCTCAGTCACTCCTAGCCCATTTTGATGAATTTTATGATTTTTTTCCTCCACAACTTCTACCATTTAATTGCAGTTTCTGAAACCTGGTTAAAGCCCTCTATTTCGTCTTCCCAAATTACTTTACCCAATTATACCCTTCTTCGTCATGACAGAGAGGATCGTACAGGTGGTGGAGTGGGCCTCTTTGTCCATGACAGCCTTAAATTCAAAATCCTACAGTGCTCTCCCCATACCGATTCTCCGCATCTGGAATATCTTTTTACTGAAACCCTCACCCCATCATCTCCCCTTCTCCTTGCAGTCATTTATCATCCTCCAAGAATTCCGTTTGATGAATCATTTGAGACTTCCCTTTACAACTTGATCCCATCCTACTCCAATATTATCCTTACCGGAGACTTCAATACCAATTTAATGATACCATCTTCTGACCATTCCTACCTGACAGGCCCCTTCCAATCACTCAGCCTTTATATAGTACCCTACAACCCTACCAGTACAACCCCTATATAGTACCCATCATACCCAGTTCTCATAGTCCTGGCTTGATTTGTTTGTCTTGGATTCCCTAAACTCTTGTCGGCATCTCAGCACCCGGTTCCATTTCTGTCTTCCCATAATCTTATCCAGATTTCCTACAACATCCTGGTCCCATTTATTTCTCCTCAAACCATATCCTTCCGAAACCTCAACTCCCTCACCTGCCCTGTCGCAGGATCTCGATGCATCCCAGTGGGACCCCATTTATTCCTTAAAATCCATTGACGCCATGGTAGAAATCCTTACCAACCATCTTCATACCATCCTCGACTGCCATGCTCCTCTCCTAACTAAAACCATCCGACATTCCCCTGCTCCTTGGCTGACACCCGCTTTGAGAGAGTGCATGAGAAGAAGAGATGCGGCAAGACGGAGGTTTAAACTTACCCAACTCTCGGAATACTATATCGCCTTCAAGCAACTACGAAACAGCACACAGTCTGCTATACGCCGAGTCAAATCCCGTTACTTCCATCATTCCTTATCCAACACCCCAAACTCCAAGGCCAAGTGGGCTACCCTAAAAAAACTGACCAATTGCAACACACCTCAAACACAACTCATCTCCTTTTCTGCTTATGACATTAACGCTCACTTCTCCCGCGGCTATGCCGACTCCTGTGTGTTTCCCTATAAATTTTAATCCTAATCAATTCTTTTTTTCCCATATTACACCTGATGACCTCCTCAACTCCATTCAAAAGTCGCAAACCAATGGTTATGAACCTGATAACATCCCAGTCAGACTGACCAAAGCCTCACTACCATCCATCCTTCCATTCCTCTACCATATCTACAATTACTCACTACAAAACGCTACCTTTCCTACATCCTGGAAAACCGCACTAGTTCGTCCTATGAAAAAGACTTCCAACCCATCAACTCTCAATGATTTCCGTCCAATTTCTCTCCCCTCAAATCTTTCTAAACCTTTAGAGCGACTATTTCAAACCCAGGTATCCGATTTTTTAGAACAGAATAACCTCCTAAATCCCAACCAGTCCGGTTTCCGGCCTGGCTACTCCACTCAGTCTGCCCTCATCAAAATTTCCCAAGACCTTCATACAGCCATGGACCAGCAGAAACTCATCATCCTTATTCTCCTTGACTTCTCCAAAGCCTTTGACTCAATAGACCACAAAATTCTCCTAACCAAGCTTAAAAATATTTCCTTCTCAACTATTACCCTTAATTGGTTCCAATCTTTCCTTTCCGACCGCTCCCAGTATGTTGTAGTCCCCAATACCCCCCATCAGAACCTTTACCTTTGTCCAGGGGTGTCCCACAAGGCTCCTCTTTATCTCCCACCCTTTTTTCCATCTACATCAATGACCTTTCATCCTCTATCCTACACTGTCAATACCATCTGTACGCCGACGACGTCCAGATTTACCTCTCCTTCAATCCAACCGAATCCTCTGGTGCCATCCAAAAATTACAGGAAGATATAAACGCAATATGTGCCTGGGCAAATCACAATAGGATTACTCTAAACGCCAATATGACGAAAGCCATTCTGATCGGATCTTCCTCACTCCTCAAATCCATACAGATACTCCCCAATCTTTTCCTGAACAACTCACCTATCTCATTCCATACTTCCGTAAAAAACCTTGTTGTTACATTAGATCAAACCCTCTCCTGGAAACCACACATCTCCCAAATTTCCCGTCGTACTATCTCTACCCTGAAACAGTTTAACCGTCTCAGCTATCTCCTTCCATATAAATCCCGTCAACTCATGGTTTCCTCCCTTGTGTTCCCCCACTTCTACTATGGCTGTCTGGTGTACGACGGACACTCTGGAGAATTCGAGGCCGAACTTAAACGCCTAATGAACTGCGCAATACGTTTTTTTTTCGGAATCTCAAGAGATACGCATATAACCCAGTATTACACCAAGTTGAAGTGGCTCTATCCATCCAACCGCCGTCTGTACTTCCTTGCCACCTTTCTATACCAAGTCACCATAACTCAGCGGCCTTCCTATATTTTTCACAACCTACAATTCAAATATTCCATTCAATCCCGTCTCACTAGATCTCGTACCTCCGACCTCTATCCGCCTCCCCACCGAACTGCAGCCTTTGAATCCTTTATAATGCAAGCCGTCTCCTTCTGGAATACCATCCCTCCCGATATCCGACATTTACAATCAGTTTCCTCATTTAAATCTCTCCTTTTTAACCACCTACTCTTTTTCCCAACCCGGTTGATCATGAAATGTAGATAAGAGAACTTTTAAAGTTCCCCCAGGAATGATTTTCTTTACTTATGCTATTTTATTTTCCCACGTTTATATTATACATATCAGAATGTTTTTAGTAAAAGAGTTCTATTTTTTGTTTTATTCTTTTTTCAAAATCTTAATCTTAATAATAAATGTAAATAATTAATTTTATGTATGGCCACACAGGCATTTATTCTAGATCTGTAATTTGTCCTAAAGGGACAACAGTCCGAGGATAATAAAAAAATATTTTCATTTCATTTCACATGACATACAACTTTTAAAGGAAGATAACGACACATTTACCTTACAAACTATAGATGATAAATTTGATTCTTTTAACTGAGTCAATTCTCATCGATTCAATCATTGTGATGAATCGATTCTTATGAACGATTCTTCGGTTGATTCTTTCCATCTTCTTTTTCTTTCTTTAAATTGAAAAAACACAGTAACAAACATCCTCTAACCTTATGGTTATTCATTCAAAAACTTTTTTTTTTTTAAGTTATTGAAATTAAAAGTACTGGTTCAAATATATACAAATAAAAAGTCATGAATCTTATAAGTAGGAAGGAAATTTAAATTGAACAGAGAAAGGTTTTTTTATAATTTTATACAGGGTGTTTCTGAGTTAAGTGACCAAACTGACATTTAAGGACATTTCCTCTGAATGTATGTCCGGAAACGCTTTGTATAGGAGATATACACACCTAAGTATTTTCGTTTTTATGAATTATTTACGTTATATGAAATAAATAAAATCCATTTATTTGTTCTAACTACTTTATTAATGAAATTTAAATATGTACATTCATATTAAATGTTATCCAATATTTTTTTCTTGTTTTGAGGTCCCTAGTTCTTTTTACTGTTTGGTCACTTAACCCTTAAATACCCTGTATATTAGATTTTGGTCTAAGGTAAAAAAAACTGAACCCTATATATATTGTTGTTTTATATATATATATATATATATATATATATATATATATATATATATATAACAAACAGTAATGTAAATAAGCATTGGTTATAAATCGCGAAATGCTAGTTGAACAGTAGATTCGGAAGTAAACTAAACAACCCAACAAACAATGGAACTAGACAGAGAGATTTCCTAGAACAAAACTGGTGAATCTACCGATTCCTATTAAATCAGGAATTGACCGATTCAACTGAATCGGAAATCGATCGCTTCCAACTGAATCTATTGAATCGGTGAATCGGCAGATTCCAGCTGAATACATCGATAGCTCTAGAAAATCTTCCAGCTTATTGCATTGTTCGCTGAGTTGTTTTGTGTTTACTTTAGAAATCTACTCTTCTACGAGCATTTCGTACTTCAGAACACTAGCGGATCCAGGATTTAATGTTTTTTTGGAGGGGGGGAGCTTCACCCCGAAAGCTTCTTTTTCATAAAAATTACGATAATTACTTTGGAAAAAAAGAAAGAAACTAACTATCAATATGAAATGGTGTTTAAGTGATTCCTTAAGTCTTTTTTATGTAATTACACGAACAATAATACTTTAAGAGATATTTTTTTTCATTTTTCTTTCCATAAAACATGGTTATATTTTACCGTTTTGGGGGGAGGGCTTCAGCCCGAATGCCCCCCCTCCCTCCGTTGATCCAACCGTTTTGTTTTTGTTTGTTTAAGTTATATATGTGTACAATTTTCGTTCTCTCTTGTACTTTTATTTTTAAATACCTTTTATTATGTAAATATTTAATTTAACATTTCACACTACAGACATTTATGGCCCATGCTTATTTATATCACTATATTGTTTATTTTTCTCTGCTTAGTTTATTTATTTAGGGAGTGAGGTAGCTCAGTGGTAGGGTACTGAGCTTCCAATGCTAAAGGTCCCAGGTTCGAACCCCGGCTCATGGCAGAAAATGTATTTATCTGTTTCATTGGCCGTGGGGCGACCCTTGGTCGGGAAACCCTCCTGGGGCGCACCCAGTCTCTATAAAGTGGGTTCCCTTAATTAATTAAGGGAGGAAACCTGGTGGTTGAGCATGATCTCGGTCAAATCACCTCCTTGCACAACCGTTGACCTAGAAACAGTGCTTTCCCTAAATAGTACTGAACCCAAGACCCTTCATGGGTTGCAGTGGTACAGGTTTTTAGGTAATTTATATAGGAGTACAAATGACTAGAAAAGGGTTAATAAAAATGAGTAATCAATTCTTTATTTTTTTTATTTTTTTTTTTATTTTTTTTTTTTATTTATTTTTTTTTTTTTGTTAGTTTCAAAGAAAATATTGTGATTCCATATGTACCGAGATAAGGATTCCGATAACCTAAATAAATGAAATACCTGCATTTAAGATTCCTTTATCATTTATTCACATTCATAAATAATACATAAATTCTTTGCTCCGGTGAAGATATCAATTTTCCATTATCAGAGATCTGTTCGATGAGTCGAAGGGCATATATTCTGTTTTCTTCTGGTTCATCATCAGACGTATAGATGAGTACTCCAAAGGGGTCAGGTGATATAATTGATTTAATAAACAATATTTATTTTAATTTTTTACGTTACCGACCTTAAATTGAATGAGAATTATATAATTCCACTTGTTGATATGATAGTAATGTTTGAACCTACCAAAATGGTACATTCCAATTCTTTGTAAGCAGACTTCAATTCAACTAAATTTTAATTGATTTTATTAATTGTAGAAGATTGTTGTTACTGGAGAAAGACCGGCCTGGAATATACTTCAGTACAAGAGAGTGAGAATTGTAGAAATAAATAAAAACGAAACAGAAAAGACATGTATATATTCAAATATGTAAACTTAAATTACAAAACAATAGCATATAACTGATAATTAGTCCATAATCTATAAAATAAGTTGCACGAAAATAAGTTAAAATATAGGAATCAATAAATTTTTATGTTGGCCCAAGACTTCCATTGAAGTCCATTACAGCCCCTGTTGTTATATTATCAAATAATGAAGTTACGGATGTAACTTATTTTATATTTTTAAAAGACTATTTTAAATTCTTCTATAAGTCTGCACAATGAATGAATGATATATCTATCTAGATCTGCCAACCATTTGAGGAAAACGCTATTGTTTTAGATGAGCAGATATTTATTCCAGAATTCATCATACTTGCTTCATTTTAGTGTAGTGCATAAAGGGTAAATAAAAAGTTAAAATCTATTATAAAATCAATTGTCTAAAAGTAAGTTAAAATATAAAATCAATAAAACGTTAAAAAGTCTAAATCTATAAAATAAATTGTCTAAAAATAAGTAACAATGTAAAATCAATAAAAAGTTCAAATAGAAAAAAAAAATTAATTTCCTAAAAATAAGTTAAATATATCTACACATATCCACGACTAATTTAATAAATGGCCAAAAATTAAGTTAAAATATAAAACCAATAAAAAGTTAAAATATAAAAAATCCATTTCCTAAAAATAAGCTAAAATATATTTACAAATACCCACGTCTAATTTAATCAATTGTTTTAAAACGTAATAAAAACAATTAATTATGAGGCTTTTTCCCAAAGATGGTGTAGCGGGAAGTAGCCGCCTTGAATCTCTTCAACATTATTTCTTGCAAGAATGTTAAATGCTTGCAGCTACAGGAACGCATGTTTGAAATGTTCAACTATCTGCAGAATCTGTAATAGCCTGTCCTGCGAAAACTGCATGAAATTTTAATAGACATCGGTGTCAAGACCCATGACTTGGCCGAATTCAACGACGAGGACGACGATATGGTTAGGCTACTCGATTGTTCTGACAGCCAACTTGCCGGAGATGTTATTGAGAAAGTCGAAGAACAATACCAGATATACTTTCACTGGTATTGTTAAAAGTTACTATTACTTCTGTTAATTAATACTTACCCACATTTTATAGATACCACTACCTCTATCAATTAAAACTTATAAATTTACACTAATTAATACAAAATACCTTTATTTCTCCAGGGCCAATCTATCAAGTGTTTCCTGCAGTGACTGATGCCACGCCCTGATGATGACCTACAAAGTTGGTCGAAACGTCAATTATTATAAAAATTAAAAATACTATTTTTTAAAAATTTATTATTAATTTGACCGCTTCTTCTCATAAAACTTATTAACATGTGTGAGGATGGGATGGCCAAACAGGTTGTGTCATGGGTTCCAGAGTGCCCAGTTCTGAAGGTTGTAAGTTCGATTCCCACCATAGCCCGTTAATTTTCATTTCTTGGCGGTTCTGGGAAAATAATCCTGATATTCTCGTAGTTGAGTTAATGCATGTTATCTGACAGCACTGTTCAGCTGTTATAAACCTAGCAGGTTGGCTTGAGTTAGGTTACCCAGAGAATAGTAGCCCTTTGTTCCTGTTGTGTGATGTTTATGTAGAGAAATAAAGGGATTGTGTGTGTTAATTAGTGTAAAAGTTTTTCAACAAAGCTTCATTTGTTTCCTGAATTGATTTCCTAACATTAACTAGTGGCATACCTTGTGTGTGGAAATTAAGGATAGTGAGTGCTGAAGAGTTGAAAACTGCCAAATTAGAAAGAGTACAGTGAAGAATTTTAATTAAAACTTTAACTACTTCAGTTGAAAAGAAAATAGCTGAAAATGATCCTGAGTTCAAAAAGGAATTTAGAAAACTAGAAGCAGGAGCTCAACATCTATTAGAGTTCGCAAAAAAAAAAAAAAAAAAAAGCAAGAGCTTTAATAATAGTTGATGAAAATATTATTGAAAAGGAACTGGAGGATGAATTTGATACATCCATAAATTAGGAAGACGAGTGGATAGAAATAGCAATCAAATTTGATGCTTTGGTTGGCCATTCAAATAAAACTTGGCATGATGATGACATTTTAGCAACTATCAGTTCTTCAAGAGAGAATTTACAATTGCCGAAAGAAAAATAAGATATATTTGCATATAACCTTTTTGGGGATGTTGAAACAAACCAAGTTGCGCACGATGTCAAGCTTGAAAATTTAACAGTTAAATTTTCTGGTGAAGTGGAGTTGGAAAACATAAAAATTTTCAGTGATATCCCTAGATCAAATGATGAAGAATGCCTAGACATAACAAAAACAAAAAATAGACAACAAGGAGAGAGAAGCGAGAAGTATAGTTGATACTTGGAGCAGACGCCATGGTACGAAACCTGAGAGAAACGTTAGAACCAATAACTGAAAATTTGATAGCCACAGAAACTAGGCTAGGTAGGAATATTTGGTTATTGGCCAAAATAAAACACAGACCTGTTCCATGCTAAGAACACCTACGCGAGGGAGGCCTTTATAGCGCTTTGACTCTAGTGCAAGTGAGTCTCCCAGTCACATTCAGGGAGGCTGGAATATCTTCGACCCATTACAATAATTTACAAAAGGGTCGTGTAGATGATGGCACTACCAAGAATACCCGATCAGTACCAGTTAAGACAATAATTCCACGCGTCGTACAACCCTCCAGAGTGAAACCATCTGTCACACCTGCAGCTCGAAACAGTCTTTCCAGGAACATCACAAGATATCTCCTTCAGAACCAGTTCTTAGTCAGAAAAGTAAAAGGAGAGGAGTACAAGTAACAACTGTTGGTACGAGTAATTCTTCATTGTCCTCCAAAGAAGTTTTCCAAAACTGGAAGAGAAGAAAAAAATGAAAAAAAAAAAGCTTAGAAGAGTAGTGTATCTTGGAATGTTATTAGATTGATTGATCTTATCAAGACTAAAAAAGGAAGCAGAAAACATTTGTTAAAGTAGTTGCCTGTTATTAAATTAATGATTTAAACTTTTTGTATTGAATATTTTAATTTTGCTTTGTTATTTTAAATCAGTTTACAATTTAAAGCATGAATTGTAAAGGTGGGAGTATACATAGAGTTAATGCATGTTATCTGGCTTTACGGATCAGTTGTAAACAAAGCAGGTTGGCTTGGGTGAGGTTACCCAGACAGAAGTAGTTCTTTGCGCATTGTTATTGTGATACGTACAGAAGAATGAAGTTGTTTTGTGTATAGAAGGTGTACAAGTTTTCAACAAAGCCCCATTTGTTACTGAAGTGATTTTCTAATATTAAACTCCTAATACGCAGCGGCATTCTCAAGGTAGCCGTAAGGTGTTGGCAAAAAGGATCACGTGGTCCTCTTGCTGGACTAGTTTCTCCTACTAGAAACAACATGTGGAGGTCGAAAACTTGGATTTTCCATCTCAGTCACATTCCGTACAAGAAAAAAAAACCTTCAGTCCCTATTACTTAAGATGTACACGGTTACTGGACTATTATGAAAATCAAAAGTTTTAAGTCCCGCAAAATGAAAATTAAAGTTTTATTTTTTTAAAAGAAACATGGATGAGAATAAAAACAAAAATCATTATCAGAACATTCATTTGAAAGAATATTGGAGAATCTGTTCGATTTATCTTTTCTTATTTTTTTTAGCATCATTTCTATTCTCTTTGCCATGTACTCGTGAGTTTGTCGTGTTATCTTTTAATTGGTTCTTCGAAACTATGCTTCTGATCCTTTTAGAATTAAAATGAATTTTAATAATCATTTTAAGTAATGGAATCGTTAGCTTTTGAGGAAATTTATTTATTACATTCAGGGAGCTGATTCTTTCTACCTATTTATTATAAGTTGATTACCGATGTTCCCACTACCCCTTACTGATATCAAACTATAACAATGTCTAAAAAGATCTAACCTACTTCTTAATTTACTTTGAGCTTCTTCATGTTCTTAGTTACTGAACGGCAAAATATTTGAAACAGTGTTCACAATAGTTAAACCTTTAAATTTAAAAATCTATCTATGTCATGGATAGAATTAATGAGCGTTTTGAAGATATTTCATTTGATGCGGGGCCCATTTCAAGTAGAGAACGAAACTTCATAATATTTTTAGAACCAGACATGATTCCTAAGATTGAACATCGTTTTGAAGAATATGAAAAAGTTTCATTTGCATTTTTATTTTTTGATGACGTTTATTCGTCTTTAAGGGTCTGTGAAAAAAGTGTAAATAATCGTAACTATAATTTTATGTCTGATAATTCTCTTGAGGAACACTCCAATTGGGATAAAAAGTTTATTGAATGCTTATTTTATGTGCAACATGTTTTACTTTTACTAAAACTCGGAATAGGCATGTATGATGCTCAAAGAGTTTTTAAAAAGCCTAAATTTGTTTCTAAACAACGTTTATTGCTGTACAAAATTTGTGAAAATTTGTCCAATGCAGAAACATTGCAATTGATGGAGTCCATACCATCGATATCACCAGAAAAATATCTTGAAATATTCATTTTAAGGATTCTTTCATTAGAAAATGGGCTGAATTTGTTCATATCATCACTATTGTCATTAAATAATCCTGTGATTAACAGCCTCCTAGAAGATATTAAAGAAGACTCTTGTTCCGACAATATTAAATTGACTCCAACATCCAAGAAATTACCTAGACCTGCAAATCTTTCAGCAGACGAAATCTATCCGATTAAGGATCCTAACAATGTTGGGCTTTGTTTTATTATTAATGAAGTCAATATCAAAGTGAGTATTGTTTTTTGTTTTTTTTTATTTAAGGAACCCTGGTAGTAATAGTGAAAGTTAAGCTTTGGAACATATTTTATGAACATATATATATATTCATAGATGTAACTAAATTATCAGGAATTTCAGTCAAAATTACTTTAATAAGTTAGCCGACGCTTCTGCCCAAACATGAGAGACATCATCAGGGCTATCGTTTGGAAGTCGACATAAGAACTCTAAGAGTTAACCCTTACAAAAATGTTGACTGAAATTCCTAACAATTTTGTTCCATCCTTATAATTTAAATCATCAGTCGACTATTTACCTATCTATAAAATATTTTATTTACAATTGTATTAGTATGTACATATTTTTAATTATATATTGTTTTAACATTTTACTCTTATTTGTATTGATATATACAGTCTTCCAAGGCTGTTCTTAGCCACATTAGGTACTACCTTTGAATTGGTACACCAAGCTGGCCGCTGGTTACAAGATCACTTTTAGAACATTGAAAATGGAATCCCGAAACTACCAGAGTATATCTGAAAATAGATGTAGACAACAGATCTCCAATCCTTCTTATTAGTATTTGTACGTTCGGTTAGATTAAGTCTCGATTATGTTCATATCAATAAATATCAGAATAACATTAGGTACCACTGTACTATTGACAATCCACTTTGATGGGTGGCCTCAAGATCATTACCATACTAGATGGAAATACGAGTATGGCCAAAAGTAGATGTAGGTGACTCACCAGTCTGGTAAGGACTAAGGACATTACTTCAACTGAGAAGGACTGATTGGGGATTTGTTTAAACCCTTTGGGAGTAAGCAGCATTAAGGCCCCAGATTTTAACTGAAAAGGACAAGTCTGAAGTTTACAGAAGTCATAATCCCATTCTATAAATGAAGGGAGGATATACCTAACAAGTCGATACTCGGCCATTCTCAGAGTTCCATTTATAGTGTGATCATGAGATCTTGTGCCAACATATTTAATTTATCTTTTGAATATGTTTCCTTATCCAAAATTTTATAATTAATGTTAAATATAAAAATTTGATATATTATTTCTAATTCAACGTATTTTCTGCCATCATCATGAAAAATTACTTTGTTCTATTTTTTCTAGATAAATCATTCTCTTTGGAATTTAAGCATAAATATGTTGTTTGAATATATGTTTATAAACACAATTGTCAATACTCGGCTAATTTCGGCATTCATTGGGATTCATTTTACAGTGTGCTCTAAGTGATCTTGATACCATAGATCATTTTGTAGAGACAATTCGGAACTAGTATCATCTATTGTCTAAAATAATTTAACACTATTAGAATATGTGCATATTGCTTAACCCTTTGACTACGGGCGGGAAATATGCCTTCCTGTTAGGAGTAGGGTCACTGGTGTGGCCGGGATGTATGCCTTCTGGCCTTAGTGGTTGCCACTTAAACAGGTAGGGGCAAGTCCCGCTTTTACCATTTGACTTGTGGCTTGGTCAGTGCATTCATTAGTCCCCTGTAGCTGACTCAGTGCGGTCATTCCGGATTCTGATCATTCGGAAGCTATCAGTTGCATATTTATTCTACATAAAATAAATTTTAATAAGTTGATGTTTTTTAATATGTTGATATATTTTTTTTTAATTTTGGTTTCGACTGAATACTGGTTTTAGTACACATGAATCTCTGTCTCCTAAACAAATAAATGTAAGTTTCCTTTATTTTATGTAAATAAAATAAGTTTATATATGTAATGTTATAAATAAATGTTAACATATACAAACATTGAAATGTAGTAAAAAGGATTATTAATAGTAAAAATTAATAAATATAAAAATATACAGAATTGAAATGATACTTTAGTTGTTTTATCATTTTTCCATCCACCTAAATACAATATATATATTTCGTATAGTATAAAAGTGTTTGAAACTCAAAATAAATGCAATAAGTGCAATAATAAAATTTACAACTGCACTATGTTTCAATATGAAACTTTTTTATGTAAGAAAAAAAAATTGTAAATACAAAGAAATATATAATTTGAATCCCACCATCGGTGTCCTTTTTTTAGAAATTATATAATTTAATTTTGATGATCACTTACAGTTATTTTTATGATAATTTTCAGTTATTTTGCTTTTCAGAACTGAGAACATATGAAAGAAAGCGAAGTGTTGCGGGATTGCCGATCTAATTTGGCTTTGCTATGTGCAAGGCCCGAAAGGCATATGTCCCGTTTATTAAAAGTTGAATAAAAAGGTTAAAATACATTTTTGAAAACTAAGATCTTGCAAAGTGACTCAAAATAGCATTTTAAACAAATTTATGAAAAACAAAAATCCGTTTTTCTGGACGTCTTTTTTGGATTTCAGGATGCACCATCTGGTAAAAACCCACAAATGAGCTCCCACAAGTCAAAGGGTTAATATTAAATAAAATTATTTTTGTTTTTCTAAAATACAAGTTACTTAAGTATTATTTCAAAATATTACTCTAACATAATAAATGGAGGCAATAGATTCCTTTTTTTTTAAGACCCAAGTGAAAAAACTCTTTAGGGTTTTTTCTCATTCGATTGAGCGGAAATCAAAAATCCCAATCTAATGTAGACTCAAATTTGAACTGAAAAGGACCTATTAGGGTTTTGTTTATCTCTTTTGAGTGAGTGAGTGAAAGTTAATAGTCATGATCTAAATAAAGGAAGGTTACACCTGTGAATAAGGCTGTCATTACTCTGCGATTTTTGGAAATGCTGTCAACAGTGTAATTGTTTTCCAATCCATCATGTTGGAGTGACACTTATGATGTGGTAACGAAATCCTACTCCCACACGATGACTAGGAATAATATCACACTGTTAGATAGAATTCTGAAAGTAGGAGATGGTGACCGATCTCAAGGTGTTCTTCATGTTGAGAAATATACAAACTGCTTAAAAATGAATAGGGATATTGTTAGTTATATATAATTTATTTATCCTAGAATTTATTTATATTACAAATTCAAATAAGGTAGTAATAGCTAACCCTATATAGGTTTATGATAAACTTCAGTAATAAAGATCTAAAGGTCAAAGCTAATGTGATTGAACCACATTGACAAACATTCCAAAAAGTGTTTAATGGAAGACACAATTATACAGGATGTCCCATAAGTAGAGGAAAATATTTAGAAGGTTAATAGTAGAGATTAAGATCTACAAAATGTTCATATAAAAAATTGCCTGATTTCCAGCAAAAAATTTAAGACTTGTGTTTTTTTAAGTGATTCACGTTTTATTGTTTTATAGGAAGCGGTAACTAAGAAAAATATTTGATTTAAGGAATTGAACATTGCTCCATAGTAAACTAGATAAAATTTAAATTAATCTAAACTAGAGGTTGTCGTTAAAACCATTTAAAGAGAACTTTTGAGTGGACGAACTTAGCTAAGTTCTGTTTAAAAAAAAAGTCATAAATTATACCCACTTTTAGAAAAACTTCCTTGTTCAATAAGCTTTAAGTCCATATTAACTAAGTTGAGGTTATTAGGAAAAAAGTTAAGATTCATCTCAAATTGTATAAAGAAATGGTGTGATTTTCTATCCAGTTCCCTAGAAGTGCCCGTATCTTCATCATTTTCAGCAAAAATGACTACAATTAACTGTTGCAAAGCATTTATTTCTTGTTTTTCCGGGATAAGGGATGTTTTGTAATGAATATAATTGCCTTAAAATACTATTTATTTATAAAAGTAATGATTATTCATATAAAGTAATAATGAAACTTTGTTTTTCTCCTAGATCTGTCATAGGAATTGATCTATATTTGTCAGTGACAAACCTAATGTTTCTTACTAAAATTCACGTTTAAAATAAATAAACCTATTGGTTGCTTTAATTATTTTCATGAAAACGTAAATGTAGAGCTAGAAACATTAAGTTTGTCAGTTATAAATACGCATCAATTCCTATGACAGAAATTTGGTTGAAAAACACAATTTCATAACCAGCTTACATGAAAATATTTGAAAACTCATTATTTTTATGAATTAAATGTGTTTTTAGGCAATTAAGTTTATTAGAATACATCCCATATCACGGAAAAACTAGAAATAAAGGCTTCGCAACAGTTAATTATTGTCATTTTTGCTGAAAACCACGGGTACTTTTAGGTGACTGGATAGAAAATAACATCATTTCTTTACACAACTTATGATAAGTCTCAAAATTTTTCCTGATAAACTTCAACTTAATCCATATGTACTTCAATAATACTGCCAATGTATATGTGTGCATATTTATTCATTTAATTTTGAAGATATTTAAGTTAATTGCTTGGAAGGCTGTTGTATCAGATAAACAACAAGTGCCTTTTATATTTGATAACATCATTCTTTATAGTTATTAAGTTTAATGAACAAATACAAAATAGCTTCAAAGCATGTTGCTTTTATTTATTTATTTTTTAAAGATTTTTATTTTCAGGGTGAGCAGAAAAGAGATGGTTCTACTGAAGATGTGTCTTTACTAATATCAACAATGAAATATTTCAATATTAATGTAAAAGATTTTACTGATGTACCAAAGAAATATTTTGATGATTTGGGTACAATCATTGATATTCATTTCAAAGAAAAAAACTACTCAGTATTTTTCCTGATAATTATGTCTCATGGAAAACCAGGTAAATTGCAAGATTAATTTTTTTCTGTATTTTCAAGTGTTTACTAAATCAAAGAAACCTAAACTTATTTGGTTTAGATCAGGGGGCTCCTTGAAGGTTTCTTGGATTATATAATAAAATAATAAAAAAAAATATATATATATATGAAATTTAGTAAATCACGCATACATGGCAAAAAAGTCTATTAATAGCTCTTATTAGATCCATCTATGTTTCTAACTGTATAGTAGATATTACAACTGTTAAACATATTTAAATATTGAGGAAATTTTCATTGTAATCAAAAAATAAATATATTTTGATCTTTTGATATCTAATATAAAGCTATAAACATGGACGGATCTCATAAGAGCTATTAATAGATGGTCGAATATTGAGAAAAAAGTTTACATTTTTCGATTGTTTCGAAAATTATTATTTAAGTATTTTTCGAGGTGCAGAAAATTAACATCATTATTGTTTAACTAAAAAAAAATGTATTTCATATTATAATCTGTGTATAATATGTAGTTTACATGCTTTATTCTTATTTTCAGACCGCATCTTAACACAATAACAAATTTTGTGCATGTAATCCTACTTTTGATTCCTGTTCTATTTAGACAAAAGTATTTATATGGCATATAGCAATAGTACGAGTAAAATATTGAAACAATTAATACTGACCTTAAGATTAAAGTGGTTTCAAGTATATTTTTAATGAGAAACGAAGTTGAGATTTGTATTTTGCACCTCAAAAAACCATTAAGTACAAATATTCTTAGCAACTGTAAAATAAAAACAGTTTTACTCAAAATTTTTGCCTAGCTGGGAGCCATCGATTTTTTTTTTTTAAATAAAAAAAATTGTAATAACTCCGACATGGCTGCACTTATCCATTCGAAATCAAGTGTGAATTTATTGCCCTATAATATTCACAGAATGGCATAAACTAGAAGCCTACAAATAAATTAGGCTTGGAGATAAAAAATAAAATTGTTTAGGGAGTTTTTTTTTATTTATTTCTCATAAAGGTGTAATATATAAAAGATATTGTGGTTTTAGAGAGCAATTATTTAGCTTTCCAACGATTGTCGTAATGTTGACTTTAGAGAAAATCCTGAAGAGTAATGAATATTTTAGTAAACAACATGAAAAAAAATCCTTCCATAAAATTAGGTCCAAAAAATTTGGAAAATCCTCGTTTGGAGACAAATAAGTCACTAAATTATGCATGCACTGGATATTGTTTCATATGCCTTCAAGTGGCCAAGTAATCACCATCATTGTTTCTTAGAATTATATTAAGTATATTGCCTACCTACAACCTATTAATAATGCACTTTTATATATATTCCAGGTGTTATTCTTTCATCTGATGATAAGGCAGTCGATATAAATTACATTACTTCAAAGCTGCATTGTAAATCCCTTCATAAAATACCTAAGGTGTTGATAATTCAGGCATGCCAGGGAGATATTTTGCTTGTTGAAAGTTAGTCATCTTTGATTAAATTAATTTTAATTAATAATTCCCAAATTTGTTTATTACTGTGATGATATTTTTGAAAATATTCTCTTTTATGGATAATTTATACAAGAAGAGGTAAAACTTTTACCATAATAGGCCATGTTTTATCACATGGTAATATAGAAGACTGTTGTAGTTTATAAATTTCACAGTTTTTATTTATATTTGCCAAGAAAGGCCCCAAGAATAGGCAACCTACCATCAGAACTATTTAAAGATGTGGATAAGACTTAATAGTCTGGGATCTACTGAAGATTTAACCACGTGATCAGCGGCAGAAGGTTTGAAAATTGAAAATAGAGATGACAACCCTATTGTCAACCCCTCGATTTATTTCAAAAATCGAAAAAACTGCCAAAAATGATGTGATCTGCAGCAGGAAAAAAACAATTGGAATAGTTTCAGACCACTTTGTAGGTAACAGATTTAATAAAGTCAGACAAAATTTTGGAAGCTTTATACGAATCTGACATCTTTAAAAACATCAAAAAGCCCCAGAAATTACGTGGTCAGCTGCATGAAAAAATCTTTTCAAGTACTTTCAGAGCACAGTAATTTTATTATTGTTATTTTTTAAAATCTGAAGAAATTTTTGGAACTTTTCACAAATCAGACATGCAAATTTGAAAAATGTGCCAACAAAGTATGCGATCAGCTGCAGGCAAAAAACGATTGGAATAGTTCTATACCACTTAGTAGATAATTTGATAAAATCTGACAACATTTCAGAAACTTTTCATGAATTTGGGAAGCAAATATTTTTACTAGACTACTTTGTAGGAATCTGATTTAATAAAATCTGACCAATATATAGAAACTTATCGAGATTGAAGCACTTGTTACGTGCGGAGCAACATGACAAAAATTTGGAATCCATTGGTCCTAGAGTTTTTCCTGCCACCTATTTCAATCTATCTATTACGTTTAGCAAAAAAATTGGTCAATCTGATAAAAAAAAAATTGCAAACAATCCAAAATTGTGTAAAGGACACACTAAAACAGTGTTATTATTTAACCATTAACCATGTTATGTGTTAAGACAATGTAATATTTTTTCACATTTCATAAAATACTAGTTATATATATATATATATATATATATATATATATATAATATCCTCGCGCGGGCTCATTACCGCGTATGGGGAGCGTCCCACGGGTGGCGGATGTGGGGATGGTCGGTGGAAATTCCTTGGAAGTTCCTCCCGGCTAAGTCCGATGGACTCGCTGACCAACAATGAGAGGGGCCCTCCAGACTTGCTGGAGGGAGGGGACCTCCAGACTTGCTGGAGGTAGGGGCCCACCAGACTTGCTGGAGGGTGTGACGTAGGATTGAACGCCCTACTCACATATCTTTAGTTCACCAAACACCACAAAAAGTCATGGATCTCCCTAAGGTAAAACGCTCATTATCCGGAGGTAAACTAGTCCCCCGTTCGGGTCTCCGGGTGGGGACTGCTTTAGGGGATTCATGGCGCAAGTTGAAATATAGGGATTTAAATATTGGTACGTGGAACGTAAGGAGTTTAAACACAGCAGGGGGGCTAAAATCGGTCGCGAATGAGGTAAATGGGTACAATTTGGATGTCGTGGCTCTGCAAGAGGTTCGCTGGCCAGGGAGGGCTCGATGAGGGAAGGAAAGTACACTATTTGGTACGGAGGAAGCGAGAATCACTGTTTAGGTACCGGGTTTCTAATTAGGAGTAGATTACTATCCGCTTTGAGGGACGTACAATTCTTTAGTGATAGAATTTCGGTAGCTACATTTCAGGGACGTTGGTTTAAAATCGCATTAATAAACATACATTGTCCGACCGAAGACAGTGACGATGAAGTCAAAAGTGAATTTTACGATAAACTCGAATGGGTTTATGATAAACTACCGCGAAACTACATGAAAATAATTGTAGGTGACGCGAACGCAAAGGTAGGAAGGGAAGAAGTTTATATTCCGACGATTGGTAAAGAAAGTTTGCACGAATATAGTAATGATAATGGGATCCGTCTGATAAACTTTGCCATCTCGAAAAACCTGATAATTAAAAGTACGACGTTTAAACACAAGGATATTCATAAATATACTTGGACATCACCGGATTCGCAAACACGAAATCAAATCGATCATGTCTTGATACAACACAGCTGGCAAAGCAGTATAATTAATGTACGGTCTTATCGCGGAGCAGAATGTGGGTCGGATCATGAATTAGTAATCGCGAAACTTCGACAAAAACTTAATATAAAAAAGAGAAAAGAAAACCGTTTCGATTTTGAGAATTTTAATTTGGAAAAATTAAAAAATCCATCAATTAGAAACCAATTCGAGCTAGATGTTAAGAATAGGTTTGAAGCTTTAGAGCTTCCTGACGAGGACCACGAGGATATTGACAAGTTATGGATAGAGATCAGGGATAATATTAAAGCGGTCGGTAACTCGTGTCTAGGAAAAAAGGAAAATAAGAATAACAAACCGTGGTTTGATGAAGATTGCTTAAACATGTGTGAAAAAAGAAAAGCCGCTAAATTAAAAGCTCTAAATAATCCTAGCGAAGACAATCTGGAATACTTCCGAATCTCAAAGAACGAAACGACAAAATTGCTCAAAAATAAAAAAAGGGAGTATCTTAAAAATAAAATAATTGAAATAGAAACTAATAGAATCGAAAATAACGTAAGAGACATGTACAAAGGTATAAACAGATCACGTAAATATGTAGGGCCCGTAACGTCTGGAATTAGGGATGATAATAACAATATTCTGACCGATCCGGTTGACATATTGAATAAGTTTAAGGACCACTTTGACAATATTTTAAATACGGGAAATTATGATCTGTGTCCTCCTTCTGAGTACCAGAGTGCTGAACCGTTAATAGAAGGACCAAGTAAAGAGGAAGTTGAAGTAGCTATCGGAAAATTAAAATCATATAAAGCAGCGGAATCGATAATATTCCTACTGAACTAATTAAGGCATGCGGGGAAGCTGGAGTTTCTAAAATACATCGGTTGGTTAAAAAGATCTGGGTGAACGAGAAATTACCTGAAGAATGGAAAGAATCTATTCTTATTCCGATTCACAAAAAGGGTCCGAGGACGGATTGTAATAACTATCGAGGAATTTCACTCCTTCCGGTATGTTATAAAATATTCACTTTAATCTTAACCAGTCGAATCACGGAATACGCCGAGGAAATTATCGGAGACTACCAATGCGGATTTAGACGGAATCGTTCGACTATTGATCAAATATTTTCTTTACGGCAAATATTAGAGAAAAAATTGGAGTATAACGGTATTGTTCACCAGCTGTATATAGATTTTAAAAAGGCTTACGATTCTATTGACCGCCAGAAACTGTATAATATTCTAATCGAGCAGGGGATTCCAAAAAAACTAGTAAATCTAGTCAGGATGTGCTTGACGGAGACACTCAATAAAGTTAGAATCGGTAATAATTTGTCCGAAAAATTTGAGGTTCGTTCGGGCTTAAAACAGGGGGATTCTCTTTCGCCTGTCCTGTTCAATTTGGCATTAGAACATGCCATTAGGGAGGTAATGCGAACCGAGAAAGGGTTGGATCTGGGCGGGACAACATCCGTGCTGGGCTATGCTGATGATCTGGTACTGTTAAGCGAAGACGTTGAAACTATAAAACTAAATACGACAACGTTAATGAAAGCCGGTAAAGAACTAGGACTCGAAATAAACGTGGATAAAACAAAATATATGGTTAGCTGCAAAAATGGCGATACTACTGGTGATATCGATATAGATGGTAATATGTTTGAACAGGTAGATAAATTTAGGTATCTAGGTTCTACGATAACTAGAAAAAACGAAATTGAAGAAGAGATTAAGGTTAGACTGAAGGCGGGGAATGCTTGTTATTTTTCTGTGACAAAACTACTTAGTTCGCGCCTCTTGTCCCGAAACTTAAAAATTAGAATCTATAAAACAATTATCTTGCCTACAGTTCTTTATGGATGCGAAACTTGGCCGCTTACATTAAGGGATGAGCAGCGTCTTAAGGTTTTTGAAAATAAAGTATTGCGTAGAATATTCGGACCGAAGAAGGATGAGTTAACCGGAGAGTTCAGACGGTTACACAACGCCGAATTGCGTGAGCTGTATCCGGGTAATATAATTGAGGTAATTTCATCGCGGCGAATCAAATGGGCTTGTAAAGTTGTTGGCTTAGTAACGAGAGAATTCCTAAAAGGTTAATATTTGCTGTGCCGAATGGTAAGCGTCCGAGGGGTAGACCGAAGCGAAGGTGGGAAGATTGCATTAAAGCCGATCTGAAGGGACTGGGTTTGGACGGCGAACGGTGGAGGGAGGTGTGTAACAAGCGATTGGTGGTGTCGGCATCGAACCTTCGGGTTCGCTAAGCCTTATTATTATTATAAAGCGAAGATGGGAAGATTGCATTAAAGCCGATCTGAAGGGACTGGGTTTGGACGGCGAACGGTGGAGGGAGGTGTGTAACTAGCGATTGGTGGTGTCGGCATCGAACCTTCGGGTTCGCTAAGCCTTATTATTATTATTATATATATAATATAGTTATCTATATCGATTCATAAGAATCATCTAAAGAAATGAGTGTATATGCACGCGATCATGCCTGTAATTTACCATTACACTACGTACTCTATAGTGTATAAAATATTAAATAAAAAAACAACAGAGATGACATTTATATTAACAAAAACGAAACTTAACATTTCTACCACATTTCCAATTTATTTATTAAAAAAATCGCTGCAATCCTACCTAAATAGAAGAAAATAATGAACACTGTATATTCAATGCAATTTACTACACTAACATGTTAAATATACGATATAAGTTATCTCTTCATTAAAAAAAAATGCCCTCGCTTTGGCCATATTTGTGTATTGGATATTTTTGCAAACTTTTTGTCCGTAAAGAAGGAAGGTATATTTTTCAAGTTCCAAGATATTTTC